CTGTAGTTTTGAAAAGTGTGATGTTTTCTGCATTGCTAATCACTTTACTGGATAACTTTCATGTTCTTCTTCGAGGGCTTGCTCATATCCATTCCAAACCCGCCCCCCGTCCCCACTGTCGGAGTAGCCGGCAAGAAGGAACTGAGGGGGCGCCGGGTCGGCTGGGGTATATATTCAGCGCCATGAAGGCGCCACTCTAGGGGGCTCCACAGCCGACCCGCCGGTGTTGCTAGGGTAAAAATCTTCCGACGATCGTGCACGCGGCGCGCACACACCTAATGGAATGGATATGAGCAACACATCTCGAAGAACAACAGTTACAACGGTGAGTAACCGTCTTCTCTCATTCACCTTCCTCATCTCCCTTTGCTTACTATAGTGTCTTCCTGTGTTAAGTCTAGTTTTGATTGTAAGATCTGAAGGGCAGGAATCTATCATTTTATTTGTCTATAAAATGATGTGTGCATGTTTGGCTCTATGTATCATAACAATAAACAGGATAAAGAATGCAAACACTGTTGTAGTGGCACAGCTACAAGTGCTAAATACCATGTGCCATTTTTTCTAATTGTTGTTTCATACTGCTCTGCTTTTATTATAACAGGTAAGTCGTTCATCTTTGCTGGTTGAGCAACCTGCAAAAAAAAGGCTCCTAATCGAGGGTCAGGTCATGAGTGTCATGTGTGTTGAGTCAGAGCTGCAGAACAATACAAAACATGCAGAGAACTCCTCAGACACAGAGATAGAGGACATAATTACTGAAGGTTTGTAGATTTAATTTAATACACATTACTCCAATCAATGCTATGGCACAGACTGTGTAGTCTGTACATCTGGACTGTTTCTCTATCTTAGATCCTTTCGACACTATATCTAGTGATGATATTTGAAATTAATTTCAAACAGTTATAGCCAAACACAGATTATAATGGTGTTCAGTATGGATGCACACTGTTTTATAAAAACTATGCCATTGACTTACCTAAGTAGTATAGCATAGCTTGGGCTAGCACGGTTCTCAAAAAAGAAACCATGCTGACAATAGGTCCATTGCAAAACAGTTACAGACAATTTTGTTAGAACCCTGGTTATCAAACATTTTTTTAATATGGATTATTTTACTACCATGGTTCACAGATTCAAAGGCCAGACGGGACCACTGTGGTCATCTAGTCTGACCTTCATAACACAAGCCATAAAACTTCCACAAAATAACCGCTATTTGAATTAGAGCATATCTTTTAGAAAAACATTCTCCATCGCTGGCCAATTTTAAATCAAGACTGAATCTACTACAGCCCTGGTTAAATTACTCTGATGATTAATAACCCTCACTGTTAAAAATTGCTGCCTTATTTCTGGTCTGAATTTGTATAGCTTCAACTTCCCACCATTGGATCCTGTTACACCTATGTCTGCTACACTGAGGATCCCATTATCAAATATTTGTTGCCCATGGTAGGTAGCCTGTGATTAAGTCAGCCTTGAGCCTTCTCTTTGTTAGATTCCAGGTGTTCAGTCTATTTAGTTTATCACTGAGGCATGTTTTCCAATCCTTTAACCAATCTTGTCGCTCTTCTCTGAACCCTCTCCAATTTATCAACATTCTGTCTTCAAGCCTTAGTATGGATAGCATCATAGATGATAGAGAGAGAAGAGATTTAGACCTCCTAGTCCAGGCGCCAGTCAATGGTGTATTATTCTCTGCCTTGCATTTTCTCATATATTTTCAGTCTAATTTTAAAGTCCCAAATTCCACCATCTCCTCTTGGGGTCTCTTCCACAGTCTAATACAGCTGACGCTGTCAGGAAGTTGTTTTTGGTACTCAGCCTATGATTTTCTTAATTTTCCAGCTCAGCTTCTAGTTTATACCTCCTTGTACCATAATTCCTTTCTGTCCTTCAATATCCGTATATTGCTACCTTGTCCTCTCCTCTGCCCCAAATGAGTTGTTAGTTAGCCAAGCTGTACATATTTTTCTAATCTTTCCTCATAAGGGCGTCAGAGACCTCTATAGAAATTAGAATTGTTCATATCTGTGGTTCTCCCACTAGTGAAACCGATATAGAAGTGATGGGAAAATATATTGTATTTATAGTATATCTCAATGTCAAACAAGCTCAAAATTCAACTTATTTAATTATTAACTTCTGGAACATTGTTTTTACTATCATGGTTTGCCACTGCTTAAGAGAGGAGAATTGCAGGTGTTTGGGGAGGGAAAAAGCATAGTGTTTCTAACAGTTCTGAAGCTAAGAGGAATATTTGTTGATGGTGATATAATAATAGAAAATTTAATCACTACTGGATTTTTATTTAAAGCTGAGATTCAGGTTACAGCTCAAATGATATTTGGGGCCAGATGCCTTGAGAATTTACATCCAATTTGAACCTCATCTTAGTAGTTCATTTCAGTAACACATTGGAACAGACACACATTGATAACTTATTTATCTTGGAAACACTTTATTGAAATGAGATATAGTAGTTTGCAGTCCTATTGCAAGTCAAAACACATGAGATGGTATCTACAAATTAAATACAAAATTTATTCTAAGCTTCCAGTTCAGGGTTTTCTGACTTGTTTTAGTTTGAGAGATCACAATTGCTGATATGGCTCATAAAAGTCCTCCAAAACCTTTTTGCATTTTTCAAGGACAGCCTTAACTTAGTAATTTCCTGATGTTTGAGGACTTCACTTTGAAATCTTAACATTCTTTTAATGCTGTTTTTTAAATTACATTTCCTACATATTTTAAAAATAAAAATTAAAAAACAAAGAAATTTCACCATGTTCAGCTATTTGGTAGTCATCAATGGAACATTCTGTACTCTATAATGTGTACAACCAATGAGATTTGAGCCCCTGGCCTTTCTGTATCATATGTAGGCAAGATTCTTCAGAGTCCTGTCTTTTTCCCTGAGAAAGTGACTTAACTCCTTGGCTTGCATGTTGCTTAACCTTTGAGGGATATGGAGTATGGTAAAGGAAAAGATGATAACTCACAGAATATTTTACAAAAGCTTTTAGAAATATCTATCATTGTTTTATTGTCTTCATAATTGTGAATGGTGCCGATGTCTCTCAGTGAGAGCTGCATTTTACTGATTCTTCCGGTAGGAAGTACAGTCTGATGACATGGACAGCATAGGAGAGGCAGGAGGCTTTCAAAGTTGTTGTATATATGGTAAGTTCTGTTACTTTTGACTTTTTTTGTTAATTTAACAATACTGTATACAATACCCTTCTAGACAAATAAATGACAAAACTTACCTTGCAACAGCTTTGTAAATCTCCTACCTCATGTTTGTGTGGAGAGCTCTACTTCTTGATTTATATTAAGCTATTAGACTATCAAGATGGCAATTACCTGATTCATTGGTAATTACCGGTACTAATTTTTTACTTCATGTGAGATATTTTTAAAATATTCATGACTTTTACTTTCTTTTGATGTATGCTTTAGCGTGTTTGCAGTTTCTGTGGAGTAATTTGCAAGTCATCTTAAATTTGGTAGTTACACTGAATACTGTCTGTTTCATTTTTCACAGGACTCTCTCTAGGGTTCTTTGTGTACTAACAATAAGTAAGGCTAAGATTTTGTCACGGATATTTTTAGTAAAAGGTCACGGGCAAAAGAGAAAAATTAATGGAAGCCATGACTTGTCTGTGATTTTACGAAAAATATCTGGGATAAAATGGGGATCTGCGGGTGCCCACCCCGCCTGAAGCAGGGCAGCTGCACAGGGGCTAGGAGCCTCCTGCAGCAGCTGGGGGCTGTGGGATATCCCTGCCACCTGCAGCTCCAGGGGTCCCCCGCTGCCTGTGGGGACCAGGAGCTGCGGGGTACCCCCACCGCTTGCAGCTCCAGGGGCTTGCTGCAGCCGGGAGCTCAAGGGTTCCCCTTGCAGTTGGGAGCTCTGGGTTCCCCCCACCGCCTGCCAAAGCTGTGGGGCTGCCAGAGGTGGCAGGGGTACCCCACAACTCCCAGTCCACGGGAAGTGGGGGACTCTTCAGCTCCTGGCCGCTGAAGTCACGGAGGTTGCTGGAAGTCATGGATTCCGTGACTAAATCTTAGCCTTAACAATAACATTTGTTCCTGAGCAGATGTCAAGCAGACGGTTTACAGACGCCTCCCGGTTACGCAAACGTGACTTTCGCAAATCCACACTTACGGAAAAAGTTCAATAAACTAGAAATAGTTTTGGGGTTTTTTTGGAGGGGGAGCGGGGGGGTTGCGTAATGGTCGGGTATATGTTTCCGACTTACGTAAAATTTGAGTTACGCAAGGTGTTCCGGAACGGAACACTTGCGTAAGTCGGGGAGCATCTGTATCTGTTTTACAGCACTGTTCAAACATTTGCATTGTTGTTTACCATTTGTAGTTTCATTTTTGACAGTTGGTTATTGTATCGTAAACATTCTGCAGTTATTCGGTTGATGAGCCAGGAAACGTTTAGACAGCATTGAGAGCCATTCACAAACACCAAGATCAAATAATTTAATCCCTTTTCCCATCATTCAACAGCTAAGATGTGGGTAAAAAGAAGTGCTTCATATGCAAAAGAACAGTTTCTTTTTTACCCATTTTCCCAGCAGTCGTCGTCTTTTTGCAGGGAGCGTGTAGATTGAATTGTATCAGTATATTCCTTTTTCCTGTAGGAAGAGAGATTGATTTTAAGGGAACATTTGCGTGGTTTTCATTACTTCAATTGCAAAGTTGATGAGATCTGATGCATTTTGCAGTTTTTAAGCAGATGAGATTGAGTTCCTTTCTCCATTGTTACTGCAGTTGTAATACTGTATGGGTTTATAAAACTGGTACATAACATGGTAATATTTTCATTCTTAAGATGAGTTTAGCTTTAATAATATATTAGGATCCTGGGACTTCAACGTTTTCCCCCCACATTAATCTATTCAGCATTGTTTGATTTCTTCTTGTTGAAGTAGTGCTTTCCAGTTTGCTATCCTATTGACAATGCAGCAGGGTGTTGGGCATGATTCTTGATGAGTCAGAATATCAGAGGTTCAGATTCCTGATCTTTGTGTTAAACTACCATACCAGAGTCTTTATTAGCCAGTATTCGAGTTCCATGAACAGTCTAGAACCAAAAAAATAGCAACCATGGTTGCAAACTAAGTGGAAATGTTGTGTCGCTAAATATGAATGAAAAGAGCAAGAAGTAAGATGTAGTCAGTGAATTGCCTGATTTGGGGGGAAAATAGCTAAATACTGGGGCGGACGACCCAGAAACTAAAACAAACCCCCCCTCTTTATATGTTCACTTGCATTTTAAAATGAATTTGTTTTGAACATGCTTGCACCTGTTTTGTAAGCTGTTGAGCTTTACTCACATGAATGCATGCAGAATATAAATGCTAAATTTGGTCTCCTGATCATTAGCACCAGTAGTGCTATATTTCAATAATTGTGCATGAGGATAATTTGTCTGAGGCCAGAGGTCAGACTGGAAGGGAGTGGGGGAAAAAAGCTGGTGGTACTCTTTCCGGCTCCACCCATGTAAGATGCTGCTCACAGTACATTGTGCAGATGTTCAAAATATGACCGGGCATGCCATCTGTGCTTCTTGGTCTTGGCTCCTCTTCAGTGGGACTTGGAAACACCCATTTGCACAGCACATGATCTACTGTGCTTCTCAGGCTTATTTTCCCCTCAATAAGGCTTGTGTCCCCTGCTGGGCTTCCTGAGCTTGGCTCCCCCTTTAGGGGCTCAGAGGCCCTGCTGTGCTCCCCTTCGGTTGGAAGTGGGAAGAAGGTACACCAAAATAAACTGTCAAAGTAGATTTTTCAGTTCTCCATAATATGATCAGCCCCTCTCCTTTCTTACATGCTCTGAAGTTAACAACAATGTGACATTTAGAATATTTTCACTGGCATCCAAGTTAGCATCCATTGAGATGAATGGGGCAGATCTCACCTCTAAAAGCAGTTTCCAATGCTGCAAAAGCAGGCAGATGTCACTGCATCATTAGGTATGTCTGCACTACAAGGGCTACAGCTGCAGCAGCACTATAGTGTAGACACTTACTACAGCAATGGAAGGGATTTTTTCATCACTTAAGTAAGCCCAGCCCCTTAAGAGGCAGTAGCTAGGTCGACCTAGCAGTGTCTAAAGCATGACAGGTCCTCATCTTTGGAATTAGCTTCCCTCCTGGTTCCAGCAGAACCTGGATTTGTTAACTTTCCAGGCACGATTTAAAGTTTGATTTCTCTTATAATATTTTGGGGAGTTAAGTTTCCTAGGTGAGAGGGCTGGAAGCTGAAGCATAATTTCTGTGGGTTATATGATATGGTTAGGTACAATGCCTTAAGTTTTCTTGTGTGTCAGTAAATTGGAAAATTTGCTGTTGAAATTAATCAAAGTATAGTACTGGAAAATGTTTAAATTTTCAGCGGCTCTGACCAGTCCCTTTGTAACTAGGACCATGCATTCACATATAATTATATCACTGAGTGTGGTGATCAGTGTGCATTAATAACTATGGTGATAAAATATGTGAAGTAATATTATTATTAAAACAGTAAATGAAGTATATTTTATATAAGATGGGAACACTGCTTAATACAGGAGAGAACAGGATTTCCCGGACCACTTGTCAGAGCACAAAGACAATCAAATGAGCTGACAAAGATTTGGTCACATATGTCACTACATTATGCAATCTGAAAAGGAAAAATAAGCTAAACATAGGCAATACATCTTACAGTAGCCTAATATTTCTAGGAATCCTGGCTTGGGCATGGCCTGTGGGGCTTAAAAAGGAAAATACCTTAATAGTATTAATTCCCTGTAGGCTTATTCTCTTCTTAAATTGCTATCTGTTCTATAGATTAGATTCAGTGCTTCAGTGGCTTTCTCAATCCTCCACCTATTATAAGAGTTATTCTCATCCATTCAGGGAAGAGAAATAGTACTATGTAATGATGTGACATATTACAGCTAAGCGACAGAGCTTGACTTTTGAATATGGATTGTCAAATGCTCACAGTGAACTGTTTATGATCAGTTCATAGAAGGGGACAAAAAGGTTGATTAAATTTGAGGACATTACCTGCTCATGAAATGAAACAAAACAAAAGAGGCTAAATTCGTTAGATAAATTAATTAACACTTCACTCTGGTCAAACAATGATTTGTATAATCTACTGGTTTGACATCCATTGTCTGTTTACTTTCCTAAAGGCATTCAGTTAAATGTATTGATATTGATATTTGAATTTTACTTTGTGCCTCCTTAAGAGATGAGAAATTAAATGGCATCATATTTAAATTGTTCAAACTGACTTCTTGTGTGTGTCACTCCTTTCTTTAGAGGGACTAGATGAAATGGAAAATGATCTCCTGAAGTGTGAGTTTTGTGGAAAAATGGGATATGCTAATAAATTCCTACGGTCAAAGCGATTCTGCTCCATGTCCTGTGCCAAAAGGTATTCTGCATTATTATTATTAATGTATTTATTTATTAATCAGGATATAACACTAAAATTGTATATGGCCCTGAAAAATAGTTAAACCATCCATGCTAAATAACAAACAGAGTCTTTGCCCCAAAGATTTTACAATCTACAGTGATGAGGGGATACAGTGTAATATACTAAAAAGCAATTCAGAAAACAGAGTGCTGTGTTCTGGCATAGCTGAAATGCTGCTCAGAATAGGTAGGGCTTTAGAGGTTTATTAGACTGAGTGGGAATAGTCTTTACTTACATACATAAAAGAGAAATAAAAAATGTAATGAGCAAGTATAGTTAAGTTGGTGTTTTCCAAAGCTGCTCTGATGTTCCAAATAAACGAAGCTGCACAGCAGTTACTTTGTTAATTAAGTAAACAGATGGTTTCAGGTCCTTCTCTGGTCTGATTATATTTGACTTTGGTTTTTTTTAAAAATCAAACTTTTATTTGTGAGCTCTTCAGTCAGTGCTGTTGGGGTAGAAATTTAATATTGAAGTCTACAGATACACAGTTACACTTAATTAGCTAGAGGTATTAATCTTTTAGTGGTCTTTTGCTGTGGAAGTTTTATCTTGTGTTTTTTTTGCTGGTTTGAATGTTTAAAACCAGTTTTAATTTAAAATGAAAAAGCAAGCTAAATTCATTTTACTGTAAGTTTTCATAGAACTGCTTTCATTAATTCCAGAGCATAGAGAGGAAAGCATGATTTATCCACTGACAGAAAAGTATGTGTAATTTTTCTCCAATTTGATCTTCTTTTGAAATTGTTGAAGGCTGAATGAGATCATCATGAGTCAAAAAAGTCAGACCGTTTCTGTCACAAATTAGTTGAGTAAATAGATAGAATCCATTAAACTCAAGACTAGACATAGGTACTATAGATCCAAGGAGAGAGGAGATTTGGTGACTCTGCTTTTCCTAGAACTTAAACTCTTTTTGATTTCTGTTGGATTCAGGATTCCAGGCATGGAGGAATCTAAATAGGGTTGCCAGGTGTCCGGTTTTTGACCAGAACAGCCAGTCGAAAAGAGACCCTGACGGCTCCAGTCAGCACTGCTGACCGGGCTGTTAAAAGTCCAGTCAGCGGTGCTGCGGGGCTAAGACAGGCTAGTCCCTTCCTGTGCTGGCACCACGCTGCACACCAGAAGCAGCCAGCAGGTCTGGCTCCAAGGTTGGGGTGGCCCACAGGGCTCCGTGCACTGCTCTCACCCCAGGAACTGCGGCCAATGGGAGCTGCGGGGGGGTGCCTGCGGGCAAGAGCAGTGCTCGGAGCCTCCTGGCTCCCCAACCCAGGAGCCAGACCTGCTTGCCACTTCCAGGGTGGAGCGCGGAGCCAGGACAGGCAGGGAGCCTGCCTTAACCACGCTGTGCTGCTGACTGGGAGCCACCCGAGGTAAGCTTGCACCCCCAACCCCGAGCCCCTGCCCCAGCCCTGATCCCCCTCCTGCCCTCCGAACCCCTCGATCCCAGCCCAGAGCACCCTCCTGTACCCCCCAAATCCCTCATCCCCAGAGACTGCAACCCCAGCTGGAGCCCTCACCTCCCCACGCCCCTGCTCCAGCCCGGAGCCCCCTCCCACACTCCGAACCCCTCCGCCACTGCACGGAGCACCCTCCTGCACCTCAAATCCCTCATCCCTGGCTCCACAACCAAACCCGCAGCCGGAGCCCTCACTCTCCAGCTCCACTCCCAACCCCCTGCCTCAGCCCAGAGCTCCCTCCCGCACCCTGAACCCCTCATTTCTGGCCCCACCCTGGAACCCGCAACAGAGGGCAACAGAGGGAAGGGGGCGGGGTTTGAGTGAGCAGGAGCAAGGCCTCAGAGAAAGGGCAGGGCATGGGCAGGGCTTCGGAGGAGGGGTGGGGCAAGAGGGTTCGGTTTTGTGTGAGTTGAAAGTTGGCAACCCTACATCTAAAGAACATGTGATTGTCAGATTAGAAAATATAGGACCAGATTCTCAGTCCATGTGAATCGACGTAGCTCAACTGAAATCAATGAAGCTGCACTGATTGCACCATCTGAGAATCTGACCCATAATGTAGGGAACAATCCTTCACTTGTAAGGGAAATGTTAGATGATCTTAAATATCTTCCATTTCTAACTACAGATATTACAATATTGCAGGATTTTTTTGCATGATGCTAAGAATTTAAACTCCTTTTTGTGTAAAGAGCATTAAGAATTTAATGAAAATACTCAGAATTAAATTTTCCAGTTAGTGATAATTTTTATAGTTGAGCTGAAAGTAGAAAAGTCCAGTCTCCATTATTTATCTACCTTCTGAAGCAATGGAACAAGGGTGAACCCTTTAGGTTAAATTTGAGAACTTGGTTTTTTAACCAAATTAAATGAGTTCACAAATGTGATGTGGTAGGAAAAATGTCCCATGCACTTTTTGGGCTGTGTACACAGAGGAACAAGGCAGTAATGGACACTCTGAGCATCACATTATCAAAATGATACAGTATTGATAAATTTGAGAGAAATGAGAGAAGAGGAACAAAAATTATTAAGGAGCTGGACCTTAATGATGAAATATTAAAAGAGCTAAACATGTATAGCTTGGCTAACTAACCCATGATTATGAAGAGAATATAACTGTTACAGATATTTGAAGGCCAAAGAGGGAGAAAAATTATTTGATGTTCTTCAAGGAGGCATAGTTAGGGACCATGAGATTAAAGTAAAAAAGAAATCTTAAATGTCAAGGGAAATAGCCTGACGGTGTGGTTTGTTAGTCTGTGGAATAGTCTCCCAAGGTGGTCTGAATGAAGCCCCAGTACTTGAGCTACTTAAAAATAGATAGAATAAAGCACTGGAATATGTACTGTAGGGAATAGTCCTACACTGGGTGGGAGATAGATTTTCCCATGTCTAATTTCAATCATTCTGTTTAGATTCTGTTAAAAGATTCATATGAACATGCACAAAAAGCTTCAGAGGTGAGCCCCTACTAAGCTTTTACCAGTGAGGAAAAACAAAATTTCATAGCAAAGGTCTCCTTTTGAAATTATTTGTGCAGATACCCATTGTTAGGAGTGCCTTGCTTTGTCTTACAAGCCATTGAATCATTTCAGTAGAAACAAAACTAAGGGGCACGCGTACCCCAGACTTCCTCGAAATACAGCAGTATGGGTAAAAGGCCCGGCTTCCGAATCATCCCTCTGTTCCTTTTTCTGCCATCAAGGGTTGCCATGTGACCTCCACCTCTCTCTTTTGTCAGTTTAGGTCCTACTACTACCTTTGGTGTCTGTGTGAGGAGTGTATACACTATAACTCTACAGGCTGTTTGGGCTTTTACATCCCAAGCCAGAGGCAACGGAACTTGTAGGCTCAAAATCTGTTTAGTGGAGGAATATTTGTCAACCTCTTGATTCCGCTGACCTCAGATGATGCCTCAAGATGAGGAGGCTCCAAAGCCTTCTGCTCCTCACCCTAGTGATTCGAGCAGTTGTGGCTATCTGCCTTTGTTGTTAAGGATCACAGATGTATCCTTATTTGGACAAGTGGCTCATAAGAATTCTGTCAGATCAGGTTTGAGTCACATCAGCAAGATAACATGCTGCTTCTTTAACCCTTTTGGGCTGAGGATATATGTAGAAAAGTCTGTATTAAGTCCAGCTCAAATGCAACAATTTATAGGAGCTTCTTTGGACTCCAGAAGGATCCCTGCTTCTCTGGTTCAAGGCTGATTCTACGAAAGGTAGTTGTATCACAACTTCCCAGTAAGCATCTCTTTAGAGTGGTAGGACTGATGGCTTCATGTGCTTTCATAATGCCATTTATGAGACTTCTTATGCATCTGCTTTAGGGGTTTGGCTAAATTCTCTTTACAATCTAGTCATTCATAGTATGCATAGAATTCCATCTCTGGTCTCAACAGAGGTTGGAAAGTTTCTTTTGAAATCCAGAAAGCATTTCACTAGGCACTGTTATACTTCGAAGTGGAAATGTTTAAAAGAGTAGTCAAGTCCTAAAAATGTTGCTCCTGCTACTTGTCCAATCACAGTTACTTTTGGTTACCCTCTCTTTATGACAAAGATGGTATGATTTCTGGCTAAGGTACATCTGGCAGTCATTTAAGTTTACCATGCACCTGTGGGTTACTATACAAAGGGGTGAGAAGAGACAGAAAAACTGTTCCTTAAGGGGCTGCCACACTTGTATTTATTAACTTTTAACTGTAGAAGTCTTCAGGATTTCAATTTGATCCGACCAGCTCTTTTGGATACTGATAAATTGAGCTATTTTTAAAAAGTTGGGGGGAGGAACCACAAAAAATGCATCAATTTCTTTGCCATTTTTCATCAAAATTTGAACTATTTTGACCAGCTCTGCTGATAAGTGGCTGCTTTCGCCATTATCCTTTGAAGCTTGCATTTTTATTGCCATTACTTTGGCTAGAATGGTCAATAAATCCATGCCCTTGTGGCTGATCCTTCTTTATGGTACCTTACAAGAAATTTCATCCCAAACCATTTATTTTGTTTGTAACCTTTAATTTCCTAGACCTTGTGATTTATGTTGAGAGGCCACATTCAGAATCCATTGGTTAGATATTACAAGGATGCTGTGTCTCTCTTTTTAAATGTAGATAGAAATATAAACCTTTCTATAAATCACCTAATTTGTTCGTGGCATTAGTGAGAAAACCTAAAGTCTCCGTTGAAGTTTAGAAATCGTCAAAATGGATCAAGTTATGTATTCAGATTTGTTGTGTTCCAGTGCCAGAATGACTTAGGACTTGTCTTCACTGCCGTTAATTTGAGTTATAACTTGAGTATTTCCTGTCCACACACAAACACAAAACCCCTTAACTCAAGTGTGGTGGTGCTTTTCACTTGAATTGGCTGGCTCATCAGGGGTTCATGCTACAGCTCAAGTTAGCACAACATCTGCTAACATGACCATTCTGGAGCTAGTCTGAGTCCATACTGCACTTCAGTGTCACTAGTCCTCAGTGGCATCCCATAATTTCCTCCTGTGCCCAGAAAGAATAGACATGTTCTCCCACAATTCTTTGGGAAAGAAGTCACAGAGCAGCTCAGCTTTTTGCAGTGCAAAGAACCATGGGATATGCCTCTACAAGTCTTAGTGCAACACATGAACGAGTGCAATGCTAATTTGGACACAACAACTTGAGATTAATTTTGCAGTATGGGTACTCTCACTCATGCTAAACTAATTCAAGAGAAGCAACTTGAGTTGTCTAACTCAGTTACCTCCACAGGAAAGACACACCTTAAGAGTCCATTTTTTCATTAGAGCCCATTTCTCTAGAAGAGTGGCAGCCACTGGTCTTTGGCTAAACTAATGTCATTTTTGAAAATTGGCAAGGCTGCCCTTTGAAGTTCAGTTCATGCTTTTACAAAGAATTGTCTCTATTTGGCAACAAGGTTGGATATTCATGTGAGGGGACCAGTGCTTTTGTCTCTGTTCATGTAGTACCATGTAGCCCTTGTCCTGAGGATTCACTGTTTGCTCAGTAGAGCTGGTTTCATGCAAGGGGTGAAAAAAGTATATTTCATAATAGTAACAGAAGTTCTCCAATTATATTACCTCTGCCACTCCATACTGGACCCAGACATTTTCCCCGCCACCTTTGGAATTTGTGTTAGGCTCTTCTGAATTGAGAGAAATGGGACAGTTAGCGGGCAGGACTTTTCAAACCCAAAGGCGGTATCAGTTGGAGCCCCAGTGTAGACAGTGATTGTCTGTACTGGGACTTCTCCCACTTGTGTTAATCTTATAAATTTCCCAGTGTAGACAAGATTTACCTGCCAGAACATCTCTGGGTGGGAAATGCACTGAGCACTGATGATTTTTGCTACTGCTGGCAATGATTCGATGATCTGTGAAGTAAGTTTGTGGCTCCTACAGTGTGGCTCTGCAGAGAAAATATATTGGAGATCTTCAGTTATTGGTAAGTAACCTTGTCCTATCATTTTTGGTCATAAGCTGTCAAGGCATGATATATATATATATATTTTGGTGCCACCTGTTCAAAATATTATTTTGTTTATTTGTTTTTTAATATGGCCAAATTCTGATAAGGGACAGAAAAGTGGTGTAGTTATCCCCAAAATATACACACTGCAAAATCAGTGCTAATGTATGCCTGTAATCTGGATAATAGCAATTATATGTATAGCCACAATGGGCATTCTGCCCCTACTAAAAGTTAAGAATAATCTGAATAATGGTTACAGCTGGCTCAGGGAGTACTAAAGTATTAGCATGCAGGCCAAGCCTTATTACAGCTCTCCAACTTTTCTAGGGAAACAGGATTGAAACAAACATGTTCCAACAAGTAGACTACAGTTCCGTAGGAAGCATAAAATGTTGTTTATATTGATTTTTTTAACTTAATTCTACTGTGTTATCAGTACACTATTGAATATATTTTGTTTCCTTAGACACAACGTTAGTTGCACTAAAAAATTTGGGCTGTTTACATCAGACAAGAACAGTCGTTGGAATCGGAAGTCAGATAGCCAAAGTCTTGGACGATGTGCGCGTCGACCAAGTGGCTCTGATGGGGTATCACGAGAGCACTTCCTTAGACAGGTCTGTGGAATACTTGCTTAAAACTAGAGCACCATTTTAAGAATTGCAAAAGAAATATAATACAGTTGTTTATTTGTATTACATTTTCCAGCTTCCAATTACTTATCCATCTGCAGAAAATGATTTGGCTTCTCATGATGATGCTGTGCCAGCTGCCATGACCACTCGTCTGCGAAGACAAAGTGAGAGGGAAAGAGAGCATGAACTTAGGGAACTAAAAATTAGGAAAATGCCAGAGAATGTTGACTTGCTACCATCTGTACAAGCTGACCCATCAATGTGGACAGTTGATGAAGTTTGGGCCTTCATACGTTCTTTGCCTGGTATGTAAATGTAGAGTACTTTCACTTTTTTACAGTTTTGCAACAATAAAGCTCTTTGCTTTTTTTAGCATGGTTATGATGGAGAGGTACTGTAACAGCACTCAGATGCTAGTTAATTGGTAGTAGAGGCTGGAATGTGATTTGTTTCCTCTTGCTTGTTCCCTCAGCACAACCGGGTTTCCCCTCCAAGCCCCATGTCGATAGAACTAGTCCCACCTCTGCTGTGGCATCCCAGCTGATGGAGAGTAAAGGTGTTCCTCCCTTCAGTCTGATTTCTCTCAAGAGGTCAGTAGAGAGATTGAATCAGACACACTTCCTCCCTTTTATGCTTCTCTCTTTCTATTCTCTTCCCTCCTTACTCGTTCTTCATTTAAAAGAGAAAGCAAGAAAGGGGCTCTTCTTTCCTTATATATTATTGAAAGATTAACATTAAAGATCTTTTATAATATAAAAGACTGATTTAAATTTTTTTTCCTATATAAAACTAAATCCATAGTTTGTATGACTTTTCAGAGGACCTGAAATACAGAGAGCCTTTTCTATGTAGCCTCTAAGTATGCATGTGTTAGAAATCATACAGACAATTGTAATATTCCATTCTAATATCTAGGATGGGTCTCCTGTCTCGTTATTTACATATTTTCTCTTTTAGCTCAGTGTTCATAGTTGTGATTTTACATTTGTTTGGCATTTTCTTCCGTGACTAGCTCCCATATCTGCTTCCCTCTTGGCTAATGTAGTTTTTCCCAAGCACATATCTTACCCTTTGCTGGTGATGAGGCCCACCTCACTATCTGAAGCAATCTAAGATTCTTCTCTCACCAAAACATGTCACTTACATCTCTGCGCATTGAAACTCAGGTTGGCTCTGTTCTTATTGGCTTACTCGCTTCTGGGATTTATAGTGATATCAAACAATTTCTCTTGAAACACAAACATTTTAGTAGGATGATTTTCTGTGGGAAAGTATCTTCATCCCTGGGTGATAAAACTTGCCTTTTTGCCACTAGTCTTTTACGAAGTAAATCAAATTTAGTAGAAGAATTTAATCTCTGACAGTAAATGATGCTTCTATAAAGAGGTGGAAGTTTTAAATCCACAGAAATTACCCTTGATGTACATTCCTTCTGGTGACTATTATATGTGGATGTATATTAAGCTGCATTATCTACCTTGGATCACCCTACAGTATGTTTTTAAAACATGCAGAGCAGCCTAGGCGTGAGAAATTCCTGTACAACTGTGTTAAACAAGGACACTGTTTTTAAAATCCTAATGTACAGTTCTCTACTTTGAAACAATTACCTGAGGAAGTTTCTACAGGATACTGAATCTGTTCCTCATATATGTTTGATAAACATGTTGATTTCTGAATTTAAATGACACTAGTTCAGAAATTTTTTTCTACAGTTAACATTAGGTTTCAGTCCAGTCTAAGCTCTTGTTTTCTGCCCTCCTTGGAAATTATTTATCTTCTAGATATCCAAATGATGGGCCCAACATACCAGAAAGCTTCCTTATTACTATATGGCTACATTTCTTATCTTTTTGGGCACTTTCAGGTTCTCGTCACACCTTCAATATGTTTTCAAGCAGCATTCTAGAAGATGTTCTCCTAGGTTGTTAACAGAATTGGCAGAGGTGATTGACATTTGTACAGGAAAGTATCAGGATAGTAACTGGACTTTTGGATTATGAATCTAATGCACTCCATACAGGCCATCAGTCTTGTTATACAACATTGATTTGTCAGTTTCTGTCTTTGGTAATCCATTAGATACCTTTGGTTTACAGCCTTCTAAATAGAATCCATGAACTGAAATCTAAGCACAGAATAGGGTCTCCTCATCTGGCCTCAATACATAGCTTTTCCTGAATTCCCTTGGAGCTTTTTTAAGGACTGTTGGTTTCTGTGACATTTTTACTGCCACTAATTTCTCGTGGGGAAGAGGAAGAACTGTTGGATCTGCTATGCTCCTCCAGAGATGTTCCACTTTCACATATACTGTTCCAAGGTCAGTGGTCTTTATATAACTCCAAGCGCTCATTACCAGCTGGGTGCAATACAAGGTATATACAGTATACTCACTCTTTTGGCAGCTGTGAATGCTAGTATATATTTGAATAAGGGAATTGAAATAATCCAAACTCCAATTCCTCAATTTTCCAAAACTGACTTTAAAACAAGTTTCTTAGTAAAACTCTTATCTAGGTGCCTCGTAAAGCTAACCTCTTAAAAAAACAGGTAATCTCTTCTAACAGGATTAATTGATTTTGTTTTTTAAAAATAATCATTTGCTCTTGTTCATCTCTGTAAATGCATGTAATGTCTGTCAACTGCCATGTTCAGATCCCATGCCAGACGTAGGATGATATCCTTTCTCAGAAGTATTTACTTTCCAGTTTACTTGTGACAGTTTTAGCTACATTCAATCAATAAATAAGAACCTTTATAGTGATGTCTAAAACATCACATCTGTCTGCAATATTTGTATCATCAAGGGTGTGAGTTTGGCAGTCATTTGTGTGCGAACCAGTAGTCTATGCTGTTTTAATTTCACTTCTGCTTATTGAGGCCATTGTCTTCAATTCATAGCTGAAAGGTTGATTTCTGATGCTTTTAAAACTTATTTCTCTGTGTATGTCTGTGCCGTCAAGAATCCATGGTGAAAGTATGTTATTGCTACATCAATGGTTCTTAGCATACAGGTTGTGATCTAGTTGTTAGATAGGGCCCCAAAAGCATCACTGTATTACAGCTGAAATGCTTAGTGGTGTAGTAGAAGTTATGTAATACATTTGTGACCTAAGCCTAAAAAAACGCCTTGTTCTATCACTTGATGCACATAACAGAATATGTAATCCTTTCTCTGATGTGTTATCGGGGTGTATAAATCCTTATTATGAGATGCTTAATTTTTCTTTTCCCCTTTTTATGCCACTCTATACATGTTAGTGTCCAGGAACCCCAATCAGGTATCAAGGCCCCATTGTGGTAGGTGCTATATAGACCGCTAACACAGAAGACAATCTGCCGCTTTACAGTAGCTATCTTAATTATTGTGATACTGAGTTGTAGCTTGAAGTTCCTGAAGACCTAGTTTATGCTATGGAATTCCCCATCAAGACATTCCTGTTTCCTAACCATTTAACTCAACGATCCTCTAATCTGCATCACCCTGGACCGTAACTCATTCATCTCCTTAATAAATGGTCAATTGATTTGGTACATAACCAAATCTGTGTATAGAGTACTAAAAAGGAAGTAGAAAGTGGGTTTACTCTTTATGGAGGGCTTCCTGTTTCAGCTCATGAATGTTATTGCTTTCATATGCAATATCACTCCACTCAAGCTGAACTAACACTTCTTCACCACTTTCTATTTACCTGTCCTTTGCTCATTTATAAATCAGACTGAAAAGAGGACAATATTCATTATTTTATAGAATTTAAATATGAAGTTACAACTAAATCCAGAATTAGTCAGTTGCTCTCATCCTAGAGACGATGGTGCGCAATTCTGTTGGGAACACAAATAGGGACTTTTCCATGTTGAGGATTTCCCCATTAACTGTACAGATTTTTTATAAAAGGGAAAGGCCAAAAACATTAAATTAAATCAAGAAAGTAAAACTTATTGAGTAATAATTTAAAATCAGGATGTGAGGGGTGGAAGGTTAAGGGAGAAAACATCTGAAAGACTATAAGAAGAAATGTGTCAGACAAGTGGTTTAAGAAAATAAGTATATTAATTTAAAAACAATAAAAATATGAATTATAGGGGAAAGGAAAATCTTCAAGTCACAACTAAAAATGAGTGGTCTTCTAGGTGCTAGAGGACATTTATACATTCTCTATAGGATACAGCTACCATACAGTTTGGCATAGTTGACAGTTTCTGCTTAACAGGTGCCTGGGCTGGAGTTGAAATATAACAGAATTCCCCACCTAATTGGATTAGGAAAACTGTTCATCAGGACATCTCTCAGAGAATCATTTTCTTTCCCCCAATGTCAATCTGTGGGAGAGATTGTTGGTTATTTGAAACAGTCTTTCCCATTGAACATCCCAATTTTTCTGTGTTAAGATTGCAGCCATGTATCAGTGAGCTGAGTGCTTGTTACCTTTCAAGAATGTTAGTTAAGGAAAGAAAAACCAACAGACACCTGGGAAATGCAGCATTATGGCTGTCCTCAAACAAGGCACCCAACTACCTTAACTCACCTCCATTGATGTGCCAATCTGCTATCTTTCCTCCTTCAGACATAGAGTATGCGCTTTGATCAATGCCTGTAATATTAATGATTTTTGTTGGGGAAGTTCTAATAAAACTTCATAGCTAAAAATGCTGAAAATTTAAGTCGACAGAGTTGCACACGGGAACCCAAAAATTGGGGATATTTCAGAAATTACAGGTAAGTAATTTTTTTCTGAGCCTCTGAGATTTGAGCTGTTTGCGCCTGCAGAATATTAATGTCGTCTTTTCTTGCTGGAGAGAATCCAGAGGGATTCTGCGTTTTTATTTAATAGGCATTTCTTTAGTCTGCATCTCAGGTCCTTTCAAAGGACTCTGAGATCATGGCACTCATTCTTGTAAACAAAATAGTAAAAAATTGCCTTGTTTTATACTAGGATTTTTAATTTCTAATGGGCACAGTTGCACCAATGTTAGCACCAGTCTATGATGTAATGTAGGTAGGACTCAGCTGAACTCAGGACCTCTTGCAATCATCGTCTAATTCTCATCTACACTACAACTTCCACCAATGAAAAATACAGCCATTGGGAATTCTGAATCAGAAAAATTCAAGTGTATACAAGGCCATTGCATCTGTCAGCATTTATTTCTAACCTATTATTTCTTATTCCGCTGCAGGTTGTCAAGATATTGCAGATGAATTTAGAGCACAAGAGATTGATGGACAGGCCCTTCTCTTGTTGAAAGAGGATCACCTTATGAGTGCAATGAACATTAAGCTGGGACCTGCACTGAAAATTTGTGCACGCATCAACTCATTGAAGGAGTCCTAGTGGGAAGCTTTAGACAGTAGCCTCTCTCTAACAGACTGATACACACTATGGCATACCTATTACTGTGATGTTTTGTTAAATACCTTTTTTTTCCACATAAAGACTTTAAAATTTACTCCTCCAGCTGTATCATATAATCCTCCAAAACTTCCAGTAATTAGCAGATGTATAAGCAATGCTGGGGAATCGTTAGAATAAAGCAGAGGGTGAGGTAGGATGAATGGCACATACAAAATGTAATATGTTGTGGTGGATGATACTATTCTCCCCCACTCCCCCCCCAACCCCCCCCCCCATGGTCTGTATCATACAAGATTAAGGTTTTTTTAACACAATCTGATCATCATTTAAATTATGTTCAGAAAAACAGATTTTCCCACAGAAGCATTTTTTAGACTATGGAATAACAGAAGAGTCCACAAAGTCTGTGGAAGCACTTATTATGGTAAAATGCTATGCATTTAGACATGCTTTCTGAGTTTTGTTTAGTCTTGAGCATATCGTTTGAAGGGAATTTGTAACAAACCTCTTCTTATAGCCTAAAGCTTATCTGTATGCCATTGTAGTATTTTCTTCGTTTGGAAGCACTCTGTAAAATGTAGGATGTTCATCATAATCCTGACATTCGCAATGGTAGAGCTACTGACATGCAAATGGCATGACACTCTTCCCAGAGAGTACTGAAGCACACACATTACTTTTGTTGATTGTATGCTGGTATGCACAAAGAGGGCATTAAGTTGTTATACTTCTAGTTTGCTTGCTGCTAGTTAACCTAGACCAATGCACACTTGCTGGTTAAAAGAAAAGAATTGGTCAAAGGTGTGCTGATACTTGGCTCCTATTTCACAGATGACCTTGAAGAGCAAATGGGACCTGCAGAAAAATGTGTATTTCCCTTTCCTTCAGTAGATATAACACTTTGTTTCTATCAGCAGACTTTCTGTCGATATCTACAGAGGTCAGCATTAGAACCACTGCATTTAATTATAACTTCTTGAACTGACTCTATCAAAAGATTCTGTTCTGATATTTTCTATCCGCCTCTGAAGCTGGAAGTTAGGATTGCCCAAAGTTACCTACTAATGCAAAATGTATTGGTGAGAGTTTAACACCCTGTGCGGCACCAAAAGATTTAGAAAAATACACAGCCAAAAGCTGGGTTTTTTTGCTAAGCACTTTTAGATTTACTTTTTTCTGCACCCCTGATGGTGTGGGGAAGAGAGTCTAATCTGGCTAATCACAGTGTGGTTAAATCAAACTCCTCAACTGAGAGTGCACTGTACTGAATTTGGTGATGTTCATTTCAGTGATAAAATAATGTATACTTTGAGTTCTCCTTAGCTGTCCTTTTTTTTTTTTTAATCTTATCTGTGCTGGTTTGATAAGCTAGTAGACGACTAAATATATGTTGATAGTTATCTCTTGGATTTGTCAAAACTAGAGAGGGTTGATTATGCAAAAATACTACTTGGTTATTTTTTAATCTTTGTCTGATTATTGTGTTTTTTGTTTGGCAATGTAGAAAGTACATGTGTTACACATGTAATTGATAATGATGTTAGAAAGTGTGATCTTATATTGTGAGGCTTATATCCTAGATCTACAGTTGTTTATAGTGTTACATGCATATTAGTTTGGTTATTGTTTTAATCTTGAATTGTTGGACAGTTTTCAGAAAAAACACTTCTACAGTTAGCTGAGATAGATAGATAGATATAGATATATCTATCCATCAGCTATGTCAACAAGGATTTTTATATATATTAGCCTTTATATGTATAAATCCTTGTTGAGTAATTATTGACAGACTGCCAAGAGCTCAAAGTAACCCAGATTTCTGTACACGTTCATTCTGGCTCTTTTGCTGAGGTACACTTTTATACATAATTCCTTATAGAGCAGGGAGAGCCACAAAACACTATGTATGCTTTAAAATATCATGGATTGGAGAACTGGGGATTGTAGGCCTGGTCCACACTTAAAATTTTTGCTGCTTTAACTATGCTAGCATAATTAAAGCAGTGCAAACAAAAAAACCTAGTGTAGATACAGTTATATTAGTATAAAAATATTGCTTATTCTGGTTTGGCAAAGTGCAATAAGCTATCTTGGAACACAGTAATTAATATTGGTATAACTGCATACACGCTGGGGCTTTTCCTGGCACAATGTATTCAGTAAGTCCATTTTTTTAATTGATGCTGCTTCAAAACTAGTTGATCAAAAAGGAAGAGAAGCTTATGGTTTTCTCTAATGTGTGTGGTTTTGGAGTATTTTTTTTTAATCATTACTATTGAATGTTGATTGGGATATGGGGCTGAACAGAGCTCTAAATTAATATTTTTCAGTCTTAGATGTTATTTATTGTTCCTATAGAAGTAATTGTAATTTTTAAAAAAGTCACTTTTGCACAATAAGCTATAGTTTCAGTTTGGAAATATTTTAAAGAGATTTAAAATAGAATAAAACTTCTACATATTAAGAGGAATTAATATGGGTATAAGTCATGTGACTTCCATTAGAGCCAGTAGACTCTGTGTGGTTATATCCCTGCAGATTGCTTTGAAAATGTGGGGGCATTTAAAAAAGTTTAATCCCAGTATCATTTTCAGATTCTTCTATACATTGAAATGTTAGACCCATGTTTGAGGGGTGTTATTGCATCTTCATACTAACAAAAGCTTTATTGTTTTCTCATGTGGAAGGCCTTTTAAAAGACAACTCCATTATTTTGATTGAAAGCAGTAGGATGCACATTAAATAAAACCTTCCCACTGTACATCAGGTTAAAGTGTTAGAATACCAATGACTTACAAATTAAGAGTAAGAGGGCCTGTTCCAACTATCTCTGGAGACAAGGGAAGTTGTATTGAGCCCTACGTGTGTAATAATTGTGTGGAACCAGAGGAGAGATTTTTGTGTTATAAAGGCTCTATACGTTTTTGGACATACTCGTATATTAATTTGTATTCATTATGCAGTAGGTCCTGTCAACACCTACATTCAAGTTGTGAGTACAGTTGTTATAGTAGGGTTTTTACGAGCATTGTTTGTTTATTTACTATTGTGATAACTTACGAGTTAGTTGTTTTGTGCTTTATTTTGCTAAAAGAATGTACCTTTTGGCATTTAGAGGTTGGTCTAGCACTCTTTGAAAGTTGATTCCTCTTGACTTCAGTGGGTGCTGGATCCTTCAGGGAAGCTAAACAGAGAAAGATTTGAAAGTGCCACTGAACTGTGCACTACCAAATAATCTTAATTTAGTAAGTCAAGAAATCTCACTGTTAGTATTTGCAAGTCTTTTCTCTTATTTGTTGAAGATTTCTCTGTATATATATTTATAGTGAAATAAGTTATAGTTTGAGCCAGGTTTTGCAGTGTGCTTATCAGGTAAGTTTGAGCCACAAGGTAAGAACGTTTTATCAGTTTTGCCAAAAATGTCTTTGTAAACATGATTAAAAGGTCATTTCCCCCCTGTTTGTTTTAATGTAATTTAGAGAACATGGCCAAGTATATTTTTAAAGAGAGAGGGGAGTTTCACTATTTTAATGGCAAAGGTGACTAAAATTAGATACGTTAATATTTGTCTTGAAAGATTAAGGGAATTAGTCAATGCTGGCATAAGCAAATTCAACTCTATAGAGTTGTAGCTGTTTATGGAAGAGAAGAATATGACTCTATTTGTTTAATTTGTGTTCTCAGTGCATTGCAAATACTAAAATGTTCTGGATTTTAAGAAATTATTATATTTGAGTGAGAGAAATAGTGCTGTCTTCTCGTACCACACATCTTAAGGAGAAGTTTTAAACTATGCCAGATTTCCTCCCCAAGCATCACCACAGAGATTAAAAAATGCGATATTTACATCATGAGTGTAGGCTGTGTGCACCAGTGCCTCTTGTGTAGTGGTTAGAACAAGGGACTGATCATTAGGATCTCTGGGTTCTATTCAAATCCCTTACATTAAAATCGCTGTGTAACTTTGGTTAACTTCTCTACACTTCAGTAAAAACTTCTATAACGTGAGTGTAATATTATGGGGCAAATTAATGTTGAAATGGTGACATTTTGAGAAGAAAGATCATATATAAGCAGCATATTATTTAAATTTTTCAATAAGCTTGCAGTTCACTTGGAGTTGACATAGATATGGATTCAGCTTTTCCTAAAACACATGCATAAGAATCAGTGGTGTGAATATATTTCAAGAGAAATTGCGAGGATGAGTGAAAATTTTAGACTGACTTCCAGTGCAAGCTGCTTGCTGCTAAATTATCCAAAATGGCATCTAGATATGAAATAGACATCTAGAAATGGAGCCTTTTGAAGAGATTTTTATATGAATGATAATTTGAGCACAGATATCTTAGTACAATGATTATAAATATTAAATAAGTACAATGTTTAATTCATACTTAACGAACATTTTTAAAGTACTGTATTCTTATATAGCTGTAGTAGGAAAGTACAGCATTGTTAACACATAATAAATCAGGATATTTCAGCCTCCTGATGAGGAAGTAGGAATAGAAGCACAAAAATAATTGACACAAGTATAGAATGGTCTATTATGTACAACTGCTCTGCAGATGAAACCAGTTTGACCCAGGAGAGATGTGGGTTAGCATTGGTAAGAAAAATAAAAGGTTTATTAATAAGTACCTAATATTTCCATTTGGAGATGAAAAGCAAATAGAATATCTCATTAAAGAGCAGATTTACACTGTCTCATCTGAGTCCATTCATTGGTTTCTTAATGGAATCTAAGATGAGATGGGTACAGAAGAGTCTTAATAAGGGTAGCACCTTCATCATCATGAATTTATTGGATGTTGATGATGATAGTTAGATGACTATACAGCATTTGGGTGGCATATGGCCTGTTAAAGGAGGACTTTAATGCTGACACAAGCATGCACATTAAGTAATGCACAAAGCACATTATTTGGCAGTGATTTTTCTATAGTTATTTTGCCAGGATTTGAAATATTTGCAGTTACCACCTTCTCAACATAGTTTCTCTTCCTATTGGATTCTGCAGCAAATCTGTAATCCTGTTAATCATATCCAGGACCGGCTCTAGGCACCAGCAAAGCAAGCACGTGCTTGGGGCGGCACATTTCCAGGGGCCGCATTCCGGCCATCCTTTTTGGGGGGGCAGTTGCGCTCTCAGAGCTGCGCCACTTAGATGGGCGCCCACATCCGCAGCAGGAAGGGGAAGCCCTAGCCCCGGGATGCTGAGCTGCCAGGGCCCAGCCGCTACCTGGGGAGAAGAGGGCGAGTCCTGCCGGGGAGACGGGGCTGCGCAACCTCATCTGCGCACTGGCTGCTGCGCTGCCTTGTGCCACCCCTTATATCGGGGCTTCTCTGCACGGCTGGGTGGGGGAGGGGGTAAAGCCCCTGCAGGCGCTGGGAGAAGGTGACATCACTCCCTCTGCTTCCAGTGCTGCCTGTGAGCCCCAGCCCCACCTGAGCTTGGGGCGGCAAATTTTTTGCTTGGCGCGGCAAAAAACCTAGAGCCAGCCCTGATCATATCATGGTGTGCGGCTGTATTGTTATATCAAAGATGCAGCATTATAGCTTTGCTGTAGTATCAGCTAAGAGAAGAAGGTGGGCTATAGAGAGAAGATCCTTTATTTGAACAGATATCTTATGGAAGGGGTAATGGGATACAGATAGTTTTACCATAAAACGCTGGGATTCAACTATGATTTAAAAAAAAAATCATTATCCTTGAGCTGGTATCCTACATGACATGAGTCTATGATTTCAGTCTAGGGTATAGTGAACAATTTTTCCACATTCTAATTGCTTTCTTTAAATAAGAAGACAAGGATTAAATGGGCATAAAGAGAAAACTACCATTTCATATTTAAAGATGGTTCCTCCAACACTGGGTTAAAGCACAGTAGGAGGATGGTATGTGGAAGCTTGTCTTCCTACTATTATCTATTCAGTGGATACATTGGCAACACTGAAGGTTGAAATCCTATCTGATACCTTTTCCCAAAGTGTATGGGTAAAATAAAAAGAACTATTCTATTTTAAAGTTTTCCAAATCTTGCTTTAAAAGTGTTCTTTGTAATATAATGTTTGTGAATTGAAATTGATTTGCTTTGATGTCACGTTTTCCTGTAAAAATTGCCATTAGCTTTAAAATGATTGCAGCAAATATAAAGAATGCTGCCATCTCAGGACAGAAAAAATGCGTATAATGTACTATTAGATCTAGATTTTAAAAACCAAATCCGACTTGTCAATATGTTAGCAACCTTATCTAACTTTTTACAATTTCATCTATAGTTCCAGTTCCATTTGAGAAGTTGATGTTTCAGAATTGTTATTGGACTAGAGATTAGATTAACCTCATTAAACAGGAGCTGCTAAAATGGATGTGACAGGACATAACCTTATAATCTCCATCTATTGTCATATGAAGTTAAAATGAAGTATTTTCATACATATACCTGTAGATTCGGTAAAGTTTTACTTATTTCATTATCTTTTTAAATGCCTGGTGCATGAATACATTTGAGATATATGCTGATTTTTAAATTCCATTGGGTTTTTGTAAATATTTTATCAGCCCTTTTAGGTGTGTATCCAGTTTATATAGGCTGACGAAACAGTGTTCAGAAATGTAGTAGGGCAGGGTTTGCCCTATATCTTTTCAAATAGTAACTAGAAATTAAATGTATTGGTTGGTGTTTTTCAGGGTTGTTCTTGAAGGTATTTTAGTTATTTTCCTATTTTTAACATAAAATATAATAACATTTCCATGCTGTGTAAAACAGCATAAGGGATGAAGCTGTGATTGTGGTGCCAAACATTTCAAACTACATATTGTTAACTATTGCCTTTTCCTATTTGCACTAGTTCTTAAAATTCAACTGTTTGTTGGTAATTTAGCAAATGACACCAGTCATTTCACTTGCTTTTTAACCATACTTCCCCCAACCATTTTGCATATGTTTAAAATTTTGCTCCTCCTTTTGGTTACATCTTTAAAAAAGGACACTTTGGTTATTGAAACCTCAGAAAGATGTGGCACGCGGTGGATGAGAGAAGCTTTATGCAAGGTAAAGTCATGTATTAAAACTGACAATTGGACTTTGTTTGCAGAAACAAATTTTAGATTAATATATATAAAGAGAATGATATGTGTTTGTTCTTTTCATGGAGTGATATCATACTGGATTCTTCTTTACCAAGAAGTTTTAGCATATGTAGCATCAAATTCAGCACCTAGATCAATGTCTATAATTAAAATGTAATATCAGTGTCTATAATTAAAGTGTAATAATGTAAATGTTAATCCAAAAATTAAGTTAAAGAAATTTTAGAGTTGAAGAGCACAGTGATCTATGTAAAATATTATGTTCACTTTGTGTATCATTTTCAAAGAAAAAGCACTTTCCTATTAGCTAGCATGTGAATGAATTATAGATTCTCATATTTGTTAGTCTGTAACAGAGTGAAGTAAAATTTACATTTAACAACATGTCTGTGAATGGATAATCTGATTATACAAATGTTGAATCAAAGCACCTTATACTATGCTGCTTAAATTTGTTTGTAATTGCACCTTTTGTTATCGGCACATTTTTTCTTATTGAACATTCTTGCGTGATAACATTGCTCCCTGTGGGTCTAAGTGGAAAATTAGCCAACCTACAGCATCCTTTACTTATATCATTATATTTCAATACTATGTTGTATTGTGAGTTCAGTGCTTCAAAAATAAAAGCTACTTCCATTTGTTTACTTTGATTATTTAATCTGTTTTACTTTTTCACTTTAAAATTAAAAATCAAATGCTTCATAAAGCTTTAAGGACAGAAGAACAAATAACATCTATTCACTTGAGTTGGGTTAGCAGTTACAAGTTAATATTTTTCCCACTAATGTAGCTCTTTTTAAAATATATTTTTTAGATAAAACATTTGCTTTCATATTCCAACTATAAAAAAAATTCTTTCTAGCTTTAACCAGGGGGGGGAGGGATAGCTCAGTGGTTTGAGCATTGGCCTGCTAAACCCAGGGTTGTGAGTTCAATCCTTGAGGGGGCCATTTAAGGAACTGGGGTAAAAATCTGTCTGGGGATTGGTCCTGCTTTGAGCAGGGGGGTGGACTAGATGACCTCCTGAGGTCCCTTCCAACCCTGGTATTCTATTCTAAGTAACTATCCTTTCTGACTGCTATCAGATTGCAATTTAGTTTTTTTAAATGTATGCACATATCTATTGTTTTTGGTGCATGTAAAGTAGGCATACTTACACATCGGGGGGGGGAGGGATAGCTCAGTGGTTTGAGCATTGGCCTGCTAAACCCAGGGTTGTGAGTTCAATCCTTGAGGGGGCTATTTAGGGCTCTGGGGCAAAAAAATAACTGTCAGGGACAGTACTTGGTCCTGCTAGTGAAGGCCGGGACTGGACTCAATGACCTTTCAAGGTCCCTTCCAGTTCTATGAGATAGGTATATCTCCATATATTATTATTTATCTTGGCAAATCATGAAACATTTTAAAAATGTCACTAAGAGCATCTTTTTTAAAAAGGCATAAATAACAAAACACAGCTCTAGTTTCTTTATCCATTCTGTACAACTAAGATCCTTACATCAGCCTGCCTGCCTTCCCCATATCTGTAAATCAATATCATCTAAAGCAGGGGTCAGCAACCTTTGGCACGCAGCTCGCCAGGGTAAGCACCCTGGCGGGCCGGGCTGATTTGTTTACCTGCCGCGTCTGCAGGTTCGGCCGATCGCGGCTCCCACTCCTCCTTGTAACAACCTTTTATGTACTTGAAAACTGTTATGTCCCCTCTCAGTCTTCTCTACTCCAGACTAAACAAACCCAATTTTTTTAATCTTCCCTCATAGGTCATATTTTCTAGACCTTTAATCATTTTGTTGCTCTTCTCTGGACTTTCTCCAGTTTGTCCACATCTTTCCTGAAATGTGGCGCCCAGAACTGGACACAATGTTCCAGTTGAGGCCTAATCAGCACAAGTAGAGTGGAAGAATTACTTCTTGCATCTTGCTTACAATATTCCTGCTAATACATCCCAGAATGATGTTTGCTTTTTTTGCAATGGCCTTACACTGTTGACTGATATTTAGCTTGTGATCCACTATGACCCCCCAGATCTCTTTCAGCAATACTCCTTCCTAGGCAGTCATTTCCCATTTTGTAAGTGTGCAATTGATTGTTCCTTCCTAAGTGGAGTACTTTGTATTTGTCCTTATTGAATTTCATCCTATTTACTTCAGAACATTTCTCCAGTTTGTCCAGATCATTTTGAATTTTAATCCTATCCTCCAAAGCACTTGCAACCCAGCTTGGTATTGTCCGCAAACTTTATAAGTGTACTCTCTATGCCATTATCTAAATCATTGATGAAGATATTGAACAGAACCGGACCCAGAACCAATCCCTGCAGGACCCCACTCGTTATGCCCTTCCAGCATGACTGTAAACCACTGATAACTACCAGTTATGCACCCACCTTATAGTAGTTCCATCTAAGTTGTATTTCCCTAGTTTGTTTATGAGGTCATGCGAGACAGTATCAAAATCCTTACTAAAGTCAAGATATACCACATTTACCGCTTCCCCCTATCAAGGCTTGTTACCCTGTCAAAGAAAGCTATCAGGTTGGTTTGACATGATTTGTTCTTGACAAATCCATGCTGACTGTTATTTTATCACCTTATTATCTTCTAGGTGTTTGCAAATTGATTGCTTAATTATTTGCTCCATTATCTTTCCAGGTACAGAAGTTAAGCTGATTGGTCTGTAATTCCCCAGGTTGTCCTTATTTCCCTTTTTATAGATGGGCACTATATTTGCCCTTTTCTAGTCTTCTGGAATGTCTCCAGTATTACTTTTCCAACAGATATTTGTGGTAGTTAAAGTTCCCCAATATTACCAGGTCTTGTGTTCTGGATATTTCTGTTTATTCTAGAAATGCCTCATCCGCCTCCTCTTCCAGATTTAGACCCCTATCATGGTATCACTCCTATTTTCTCCCCCTTTTATCTCAACCCAGAAACTTTTCTGCCTCTCACCTTCTTCTGGATCTCAGAATAAGTGTACATATTCTTGATGTATAATGCAACACCTCCTTCGGTTTTATCCTGCCTGACCTTCCTGAACAAGCTATACCCCTATTTACCAACATTCCCCTCATGAGACGTATCCCACCAATGTGTGATGCCAAGTAAGTCATAATTTAGATTATGCACTAAAACTTCCAGTTCTTCCTGTTTGTTCCCTGTACTCCTTGCATTTGTGTATATACATCTAAGATGTAAAGCAGATTCCTTCACGTAATTCCATCCTCTTTCTCATATGACTCTATAGTAATTTACCATTCCTTCTCACTAGCTTGGTGAGTCACCATGCAAAGATGCTCTTCCCCTTCTTAGAAGTTGGTCCAATAAAAGATATTACCTCACCCACCTTTCCTTTTTTGTGAACAGGTTTAAACATAGTTTATGTGATATTAAAAGTTCTATCCATTCCTTTTAGACAGTTTCTTTTTCCTTAAGCAGAGAGGGAAACTTCAGTTTTTAATAGGAAATAGTAAAACTTTTTTAGAACTGATAAATTATAAAGGAGGTGTTTAAAGCTAAAACATTTGACAATAAATAATACTTGTCCATAGCTGTAGAAGTCTCAAGTTTAGCTAAAGATTTTACTCCTCTCTTTTCTTTATATGGAAGTTCATGCATCAGACCTGCTTTATTTTAAACAATCTCAACTTTGTTTATTAGCATTTAATGTTAAAATCAGGCAGTTTTTTGCAGAAGTATTGGACATTTTTATTTACCTATTTTCAACTATATTTTGAAAATATAACACATTCCATTAAAATATTTTGTGCATTAAGCACCCATTTTTATGTGAAGTGTATCTTGGAAAACAGTGCAGCATTCCACATTATAGTGCAATATTCCATTATATATTGGAGAATTTTGGTGAATTTTTCTTCATATTGTAGTTTGAGGAATTTCCTTGTATAATCTATTTACATGTGTTCACAGAGGACATCAAAATAGCATAGTCAGACACCTCTGATGCACAGCACTTATTTGTATTCTTTTCACACAGCAGTTCATTAACAGATGATTACTGTGCCTGGCTTTTCAGCTTGCTCTGTATTTTGATTGTTAAATGGGATGAAGCAGAATTTCCAGCTGACAAATGGATCTGCAGACCACATCCCCTCTGTCAATTGAATGTCATGACACCTAAACCAGTATGCTGTTGCGATTAGAAAGCTGTTTATGAAGTATAGCCAGGGGACATTCATCTCCATGTAGGCTGGAATCTGAGCACCAAGCAACAAGATGATCATCTGAAGGAAAACAAAAGGTGTCCAGGTGCCAAGAAAGCAGATGAGGAGTCTTGTCAAAAGCTGCTTTTTACAGACAGTGCAATCGCAGTCAGATGCATATGAAAAGATTAAAACAGTCACACTTGTAAAGGAAATAATCCGGACGGATCGCACCATAGTTATAACTTCTGACCAACAAATCACAAGAGCCACACCTATAACAAACAGGATGGTTAATGACAGCCAGTAGCTCTGAACACTGATATAGAAAGGGCATGTAAAAAAGTGGTTCTGTATTTCTAATTCTGCAGAGACAGCTGGAACTTTCAGAATATAAAAGAGGACTGAAATCCATATAAAAACCACAGCAAGTATATAAAATAGTCTTTGACCTATGCTAGCAGGTTTAGGGGTTTGAGCTATAGTCATGTAATAATCCAGAACAGACACAAGACAAACTGGGTAATGCAAGACACCATACATAAGGGAAATTATCTGAGTGAATAGACAAATGTGGTACTTGGTAAATCTCACACCCCAAAGTGCAAAGTCCTCAAAATAGGAGATGAAAGCTATATTCACCAGAACTGTGAAGTCAAGGAGTGCCAGTGAAATACAGAAATATCCCATAAAACTTTGTTTTACATCCAGACTTCTAACTCGCAACATGAAGAGATTGAGCGACACTTTTCCAAGCATAATCAGGAGCAGCATACAGCTAGCTTCAAGAGGTTGATTGAGTTGGCTGTAGTATTGAAGGGAACAATTTGCACAAGACATGGCAGCCATTCTTCAAGGATAAGAGCCAGCAAAATAAATCTTACAGGACGCAGTGGTTCATACCTGAAAAGAGAGTTAATGACAGTCTTGGAAAGTATATTAACTGATTACTGTTGTAACTCCCCTGCCAATCATAACTCCCCCCCCCCCCCGGAAGAGATGTTACAAGCCACTTGACTTTCAATGGTCCCTTGAAATGTGTTATCCACTTATGCTAAACAATCTGTTCCACCTTGTATTTAGCTGTGACACTCTTAGTACATTTCCCAGACCTGAAGAAGAGCTCTGTGTAATCTCAAAACTTGTCTCTCTCACCAATAGAAATTGATCCAAAAAAAGATATTACCTGACCCACCTTGTCTCTCTAATTCCTGGGACCAACACAGCTACCACAACACTGCATACAATCATAACTTCGTTGTCAGTCAAGCAGTTATAAAACTCCTACTTGAATTTTCACAAGTCTTTGATTGTGTATAAAGCTTAAATGAAACACCATTTTATTGACAGCAAGTTCCTTTATCTTCTGTACATGTTCTTAGTTTTGGGAATTAAAAGATCTGTCATCTTAAATAATTTAAATTTAGATTTTATTTTTACTGAGTGATTTCACTATTTGTTTTCCATTTGGATTTTTTGGGTTTCTTTTTATAACTTGTTTGCATAGGTTCATTTCTATACAAAGTGAGCCTGGGATGGCTGCTTCACCTATATTGGCATGGTAACATCCTCATGCTTATGCTGTCCTCTGGAAGAAGTCATTTTGCTTTCCTCCATTTTTCCTAGAGAATCAGGATGTGGTAAGATCAACTGTCCTTATCTGTGTGTTTAGAGAAGTGAATAAGAGTAAGTGAATTAGATTGCCACCTAATATAATTTTAAAAATCTGTTTCCTAATCCCACAAAGCCAATAACTATCACTTTTTCATTTTTTTTTTAAAGTGGCTTTCTCTCCTCACCCAGTCTTCTACAAAGAAGCCACTACAGCCCTGTGGGTGATGTCTGCTCGCTTGTTTTCTCCTCTGCCTGCTTCTCGGAGAAAATTGGGTGTGGGGTGCTTTAAGCCACAGTTTCTCCAGGAGTAGCTCCTCCTGATCGGCCGAGGAAGCCTTACAGATTGAAGCAGCCCAAGTCTAGAGCACTCTTAGGCCCCTGTGCACAGAGGCATGTGTAGTATGGAAGTACCAGTTGTAGTTAAGGTAGAGTTAAGTTTTGCACTTTCAGCCAATGTTCAACTATTTTGTTACATATGAAGAACATAGTGTATCCTTCCCTAAATTACAGTACTTTGAAATTAGAATTAATTTTCTGAAAATTTACAAGTAAATCCATTAACTAGGTTGAGTTAAATAATCAGAAGTGGGTCCTTTAAAAAATTAGTATTGGGTGTCAGACTTTTTGTGTCTAATGGTTTCAGAACAGAGTATGACACTTCAAATCATTAAAACTCAAATTTTGTGCATCAGCTACATTTGAAGAATTTTGGGGAGAATTAATGGTAACTTTTTGACATTATTCTTCATAAAAGTTTCTCCTTCAGCAGAGACTGATAAATAATATTCCACTATAGAGAATTCTACAAAGAATTGCCCTCTTTCAAAATGGCAGCCATCTCCTCCTTTTGTTCACTATGAGACTAAGGCTACCAACGGACTGTCCTCAAGGGTGTCAGGGTCCATCATCACTCTGAGGGAATCTTGGTTTCACTTCTGTTGGGAACAGTTGGAGGCTGTGGCCATTTTGAAAACATGCATCTTCCTGTGTTAAAAAACTGAGGCAGCAAAGGTGGGCATATACTAGTGCCAAATCGTGTTTGCCATATTCACATGAGTGAGGTTCCAATTCAACTCCCACTGATTTCAATTAATTTTGAATTGGACCTTTTAGTTCAATTAGCTTCAATAATACTCACTTGAGTAAGGTAAGTAGGATTTGGCCTTTAATAACAGGGGTTCTATTTCCTTAGAGAACTTGTATGTTACCACTTCCATAGTTAAACTCATCTTTAAACATATCTTTCTCAGCTTTTACACATAATTAAATACCACTTTCCCAAGATCGTTTTATATTTTCCCTATTGTAACTAATCTAATCCCATTCTCCATCCTGTGTAGGATCCCATCATGGGTGAAAGTAACTTAAAGGATTTACTGGTATGCCGGAGTCCTGAACAGGGGTGGGGCCTCAACTGGAAGGGGCGGGACCTTTAGAGCCCCAGGCCCTTTAAATCACTGCCAGAGTTACCAGCTTCAGAGCCCGGAGCCCCGGGCGGTGATTTAAAGGGCCCAGGGCTCCAGCCGCCACTACTGCCCCGGGCCCTTTAAATTGCTGCCAGAGCCGGCAGAGATTTAAAGGGCCCGGGACGGTAGCGGCGGCCGGAGCCCTCGGCCATTTAAATTGCTACCTGAGCCCTGCTGCTGGAGCCCTAGGGTAGCAGCAGCAGGGCTCCAGCAGTGATTTAAAGGGCCAGGGGCTCCCAGCTGCTGCTACCGCAGTGGGGCCCCGGGCCCTTTAAATCGCCGCTAGAGCCCCAGGGGTCCTAGCAACCTCTGCTACCCAGGGGCTCTGGCAGCTTCCCCGGGCCCTTTACATTGCCACCTGGGGAAGCTGGTCCGGTATGCCGTACTGGGGCGTACCGGCTTACTTTCACCTCTGGATCCCATTAATTTGTCATGTTTTTAGTTATTGTGATACGCAGTCTTAACTTCATCCTAAATTACTAAACTCTAATAGGGTGCTTATAAATACTCTATCATCATTATTAAAGAGCCTCCTGTTTCTTGAAAGCATGGTCCATAGCTCCCTGTGAGAGAGAGAACATAAGCTGTCCTTTCATTCAGTAAGAATGATCAGTTCGCATTTTTCCACAAATAAGAATCTTTGCAGTCTCTATTATACTGCAGATATAACACTTATAATTATCTTAATATAACTTCATATATCAGATCTAGGCATTTTCATGAAACATTTTCATTAATCTTCCCTACACTTTACCCTTCTCTCCTTCCTTATCCCAATTCTCCCCTCAGAGGTTTCTGCTTCAGTTCTCAATTTTTTTCAGCTGCTACAGATCAACTTTTGCTTCCAACATTCTATTTTTAACAAGTTAAAAAATCTATTGTCCAAAATAAAATCTTTCCAGGGGAGCTGAAAAACTTTTTACCTGCCAAGACTTTAGTCAGGGTATTATGTTCCTCTTGCAACACTCATCTGTCTGTCAGTACTTTCACCTGCTTCAGGTGAAAGAGAGCTGCAAGCATTCACCCTGCATTAGGGTGGTGTGATCAACTGTTGCAGAGGAAAACCCCAGAACTCATGCCATGGCCATTAAGGTAAATAAATAAAGAATTATTCTTCCATTCTCTTTTATGCCTGATTTATTTATATTTAAATCTCCATCCACATCTTGTGACCATTTTGCATAAATAGTCAACATTTGTGAACTAGGTGTAATTTAAATACTACTCTCAATGGGAAGAGAAGACAGGGTTATCTGGAGTTTGAATTTTACTGTCTCCCCAACTTTAATGATAGCTAGTGGATATATACCTCAGGTTAGAAGGTAGCCCTAAGGCTTTCAATATACTATACACACATTTATACTATTAAAATAATTGTACATTTGAAAGCATATTATCAAGTTCAGGACACATTTAACCTGGTTACACTTGGACAGATCTTTCCACGTTTAATCAAACAGCCATGAAAATACTTTACAGGTGAACTGAAAATCTGCTCAATCAGGAGGCAAATATTGGTCCAAGCTTAACACATGGCTCTTAATTTTGTTTGCACCATCACCTATAAATGTTGTTTGCATGTGCAAATTTAGTCACTGGTGCATAAATACCTTGAAACACTGGCAACAACAGTGCCATGCGAACATCTATTCTCACTTTCAAGTGACGTAAATAAGAGGCGGGCAGCATTATCTCTCATAAATGTAAACAAAGCAATTGGCTGAACTAGAAGTAGGACTGACTGGAGTTGTAGGCTCTAAATTTTTACATTTTTTTTTTTTTAGTGCATTCATGCTTTAACTCAATTTACTGTGTGCAACATGGCCCACATTTTCAAAAGTGCACATCATGCAAGAGTTCACTCTGTAATTGTGTACTGGCTGTTGCATGTGCACAAGTCAGGCTGGAGCAATTTTGTGTGTGTGTAGGCAAAGAACATTATACAATATAAATTAAAGCACTTATGAATGGATGAAAAAATAACCTGTACTATTCTGCATACATCAATTCTTCTACCTGCTGAACATGTGAGGAAGGACCTGTGGTCAATCAGCATCAAAAGGGTTAGTGGTATTAACTCCTGAACAATAATACCAGAGTCCTTTATTCAAAGAGAGAGAACTTTTGCCCATAGCTCCTGCCCCAAATGTTGTTGCTGTCATTTTCAACTATCCAGCTACTAGTTAAGTTGTGTCAGCATTTCTATTATAAACCACTATTTTCAAAAGGCCTAAAAGGTTCACTGTGGGGTGAAACTCAATTCATGTAGTCATAACATTTTGTTTTCATAGAATCATAGACTATCAGGATTGGAAGGGACCTCAGGAGGTCATCTAGTCCCACCCCCTGCTTAAAGCAGGACCAATCCCCAACTAAATAGGGGGGGAGGGATAGCTCAGTGGTTTGAGCATTGGCCTGCTAAACCCATGGTTGTGAGTTCAATCCTTGAGGGGGCCACTTGGGGATCTGGGGCAAAAATCAGTACTTGGTCCTGCTAGTGAAGGCAGGGGGCTGGACTCGATGACCTTTCAAGATCCCTTCCAGTTCTAGGAGATGGGATATCTCCATTAATTATTATTATTATTTATTATTATTATAAATCATCCCAGCCAGGACTTTGTCAAGCCTGACCTTAAAAACCTCTAAGGAAGGAGATTCCACCATCTGCCTAGGTAACCCATTCCAGTGCTTCACCACCCTCGTGGTGAAAAAGTTTTTCCTAATATCCAATCTAAACCTCCCCTACTGCAACTTGAGACCATTACTCCTTGTTCTGTCGTCTGGTACCACTGAGAACAGTCTAGATCCATCCTCTTTGGAACCCCCTTTCAGGTAGTTGAAAGCAGCTATCAAATCCCCCCTCATTCTTCTCTTATGCACACTAAACAATCCCAGTTCCCTCAACCTTTCCTCATAAGTCATGTGCTCCAGCCCCCTATTCACTTTTGTTGCCCTCCGCTGGACTCTTTCCAATTTTTCCACATCCTTCCTGTAGTGTGGGGCCCAAAACTGGACACAGTACTCCAGATGAGGCATCACCAATGCCAAATAGAGGGAAATAATCACGTCCCTCGATCTGCTGGCAATGCTCCTACTTATACAGCCCAAAATGCCGTTAGCATTCTTGGCAACAAGGGCACACTGTTGACTCATATCCAGCTTCTCATGCACTGTAACCCCTAGGTCCTTTTCTGCAGAACTGCTGCCTAGCCACTCGGTCCCTAGTCTGTAGCAGTGCATGGGATTCTTCCATCCTAAGTGCAGGACTCTGCACTTGTTCTTGTTGAACCTCATCAGATTTCTTTTGGCCCAATCCTCTAATTTGTCTAGGTCCCTCTGTATCCTATTCCTACCCTCCAGCATATCTACCACTCCTCCCAGTTTAGTGTCATCTGCAAACTTGCTGAGGGTGCAATCCACGCCATCCTCCAGATCATTAATGAAGATATGAACAAAACTGGCCCCAGAACCGACCGTTGGGGCACTCTGCTTGATACCGGCTGCCAACTAGACATGAAGCCATTAATCACTACCTGTTGAGCCCGATGATCTAGCCAGCTTTCTATCCACCTTAGGGCTAGTCTACACTTACCGGCTGGTCCGGAGGCACGCCATCGATGTTCTGTGATCGATTTATCGCGTCTGGTTAAGACGCGATAAATTGATCCCGGATCGAACCCTGTAAGGAGCACC